TAGGGTGTAGTGACTTATTGGATGGTAGGGGCGAAGCACTGGTAGAAATGGAATATTCTGTGGGTTTGGCCTTTGGAGAGTGATACTCTACTGATGTGAGTTGGGGTTTGGGAAGAGGACGAGTTAGACTGCAAGCTTATAGAATGTAAACTTCTATCAGGACAAAAGGAATTTGGAGTTCTAGAATAGGAAACCAAGTAAAAATAGGACCTAAAGAATTGTGCTAGATCCTCTAAGATAGGACAATTGCATCCCATGATAATGCATGAAATTTCTGGAGATAAGCTTATAATGAGAGAAGAGAAGAAAACAAAAGATTAAACCTTAAAGTCTGTAAGCTATGATATTAAGAATTACTGAAAAGTTTTGAGTGTTAGCTTGGAAGTATTATATGGCTTCTGAAATGTGTGAAGTTCAGCCAGAAGAGAGGTGTGTTTAGTCATACATGCTTCAGTAGAAATCTCACTTCTCTGAGGCCCAATGCATTCCCTAGAACGATCGTCTGAGTCCACTCAGTCGGTAACCCCATTTGTTTCCTTACGGCCTCTGCTTGTTTTTCTGTCCAGGTGAGATTTTCATTGCCTGGTTGCACGTCCAGCACGCATGTCTCCCAGATGATGATTCCTGTGCTTACCCCAAGGCTACTTTATATTCAGAGATTGACAGTGCTAATGATGGTTTTCCCCTGGATGTTTACAGAGCCATTTGTATCGCTGTGGCATTTCCAAAATAGAGGAGTTATTTGCATGTTGCTGTTTGATACTTCCATAGTATTATTTTTTTCTGTTTGCTCTACTAGGGATGGTACAATAGGTGACAAAGAAGTTTAGAGGAAAAATGTCAATTAAATTGTCTTTTGTTAGAAAACTGTTTCACACTCCTTTTGCTTCAGTCTTCTAAAATGTTTATATGCTTCAGCATGTGAGGGTGAATATTTCATTAGGAAGCATTAGGGGAGTTATTTTAAAGGAAGGTTTAAAGAATGTTAATCACTAATGCATTAAGCATGAAAACCTAAGTGATAAGGAAGTATAGATTTGCTTTGCTGAAAATTTCCCCTTCTCTGTCTTCCCTCTTGTTGGCATGGTTAATTATTTAAGTGTATCTGCTGAGGGAAATAGGAACTTGATGTTGTGATTGAAATAATGTAGCTGTCATAAACTATTCATCTTTTACTTCTCTTATAGCTCTCTGCATTAAGCAGTGGTAATGACCTGGCAAGAGGCTGAAATGACATAGCTTTTTTCTTTTTTTTCTTTATATAGTTTGAGATATTTATTAATGCATCTTGTTCTTATGACCATATAAATTGCTAGGAAAGTGTATGAAGATTGCTTTTCTTTCTTAGTTCAGTGAAATTTGTATCTTTGTGAAAATGCCAAGATGCAGTGTCATAATGGCAGTAAAATATATATGGACACATTGAATACTGGCTCAGACTACAAAGAATCCTCCTGCAGTGCAGGAGACCTGGGTTCAATCCCTGGGTCAGGAAGATCCCCTGGAGGAGGGCATGGCAACCCATTCCAGTATTTTTGCCTGGAAAATCCTATGGACAGAGGAGCCTGGCAGGATATGGTCCATAGGGTAGCAAGGACTTGGACACAATGGAAGCAACTTAGCATGCACACATGCCCACAATTATTAGTAGCCTCCTAAACCTAATGAGTGATAAATTGAAAGCATCATTAATCACTTAAGAATGAATATTTTCTAATTTTTTAAATCACTTTTGAAACAGCAGCCTTTGGAAACATGAGATAGGTATTTCGATTGTGATTTGCCTGATTGAAGAGAAGTGTTGAATACCCATGCTCTGTGGGTAGTAAATTGTTACAGGATAAATAGAAAACTGCCTCTACTTTTCACATTGAAGTTCACTGACAGGATGCTTTTGGGTATCTTGGGTTCAGCTCTCCAGTTTATAACCTAGATTCACCACTCTGTCTCCCATAAATCTCGGATGAAGAAGCATGCTTTAGGGTACTTAGAGATTCTTATCCAAAAAGAAAAAAAAGTTTTAGAATCCCTCAAGAATTCCTTAATCTAAAATGATGCGGAAACACAGAGGGCAAATGCTATGGGGGGGAACGGCACTGATAGACTAGCTCAACATAGGGTTGCCATGAACATTCGATTTGTAAAAAGGTGACTCAATAACTGTGATGCTCCAAAAAAAAGCAAAGAGCAATAAAACAAAGCATGGTAAAACAAGATATGCCTGTATTTAAAAAGCAGACCTATGCTTTTTTAAAGGGACTATATATAGCTACAGTTCGGAAGCTTATTCCCATAAGCCCATGGTGTGTGGCTTCTTCATCTAACTTTAGCACTTTGAAAGATTCAGTTGCATTGTAACTGGTATGAACTTGTATTCTTTAGCACTACTAGGAATGTAAACTTTAGAATGTCATCTGTCATTACAAAGTCTTTGTATCTCTAATGAGTACTTAGACACTCTTGAGATGCATGTGGCAAGAAATCCTATAATCTTTAGAATACAGTCTTTGATGTCCGTTTTAGTAAAATTCTGAATTGAATTCAGTTATTTTCAGAAATTTTACTAAAATAGGCATCGAAGACTATTAAAAGATTATAGTATTTCTTGCTACAGGCATGGAGAAGGAAATGGCAACCCACTCCAGTATTCTTGCCTGGGAAATCCCATGGACAGAGGAGCCTGGAGGGCCACAGTCCATGGGGTCACAAAAGAGTGAGACAGGACTTAGTGACCAAACAACAACAAAGACATTAATGACAATAGCAATGTTGTTGATACTTCTACTACTGCTACTGGGGTGAAGGGGAGAGGGAGAAGGAAGAAGCACTTATCTTGTGTAAGTCATCATGCTGAGAACTTTACATAAATCATGTAGTAGTCCTTATAATAAAATTATCATCTCCATTTTACAAAGTTTCACATGGTTAAGTTCCTTGTCCAAGGTCATGAAGCTGGCAGATAACTCAAACTCCTGAATGCAGACTTTCACCTACTATTGCAAATATTGGTTTGTTACTCAGTGCTGGGAATGAGGCTGTGAGAAGTCTGGCCTCTCTTTCAAATCACTATGACATTATTTAGTTTAGTTCAGTGAAAAAATTCAGAAAGCTATACACAAGCTTTGTATACCTAGAAATTAAGCAGTTTGCTTAAGCAAAATTTTTAAACAATGCCTATGGGAAGAAAAAGGTGTCTTTAATTGTTATTGATTATCAAATTGTGGGAAGGAGGAGTCTGCAGATTTCTAGAAAAAACTATGAGTAGTATCAGGGCTTTTATTAAATTCTTTATTAACTATCAGATACTGAATAATTGGACGGAGATATGTCACATTCATGATTTATAAGTTATTACATAATTTTCAAGTGGGAAAATGGTGTAATTGATTGTTAAAATTATCTCAGAATTGGAGTTTAAATAGTTTTTTTTACAATATCATAGATAATACTGTCATCTGCATATACATCTTCTCTATATTAAATACTTAAATTTTCTATATTAATTAAAATAATTGAGTTAATATTATGATTTACACTGATTTAAAAATCACCAAGAAGCATTTTATTTTACACTTAATAATAATCTTAATACACTATTTAAATAAATCACTTTTATTTTTCTATGTACATAATCTTTATTTTATTACATTATCATAGTCCCTATATATAGGTCTCTAGAATTTTTCTAATTTGGTTTTCTTAGAAGCATAGTTCAACAGGTATGTTTAAATTTGTACTCTGTATATTTTTGAGAAAAACTTTATGATCTGATAAAAATTGGATTTCCTTTTCACCTAACTTATTCATTATTTTAATGAGCATTTTAGTTAACTATTTATACTAATCTTCTTATTCCTTTTCTGACACCTCTAATAATAAAATAGTGACATTTTTAAGGAATTGGTTGAAATATACCATTTATATTCAGATTAAAATTTTAAATAAAAATTTTAAATGACTAAATAAAGAAAATGAAAGATTATGTAACTAACATTAGTCAGTTAGGCTTAGAGAGAAGCCACAGCTGCACTCCACCAATGGATGACTTACCTGCCTAATCTTCCAAGTAAGTTTAAAGGGAAGAGCATCATTATGTCTTACAGTGTTCCCAGGACATGATGCCATCATTTATTCTGTATGTTTAATTGCCCAGAAAATAAATTTGAGACTCTTAGAGGATTGTTGTTATTAATTTTATTTTTGTTTTCATTATTGATGTTAACCATAAAATTTGTGTAACAGTGATTATGATGAAAATCTTAATATAAAATTATCATTTTCATTAACTAGAGAGGACTACTTTAAGTCAACAGACTTAAAGAGGATACAGACCTTGGTTTCTGGTTTTGCCACTTTGTTTCCACGAATGAGTCTATCTTCCTGAGTCTCAGCTTCTTTATCTGAAAAAGCAATGGTTATGTTAAATGACTTCAGTGGTTAATTTCTGCTCGGTATGTCCTATAACTTTCTGATGTTTGCTGGGAGAGAATCATCTTTAACTGATCTCTGAGAAAGAAAAATGACATTAGGAAAAAGGCATAAAATCAGAGTTTATAGCCAACAGCTGGGTCATAGAGGAATATAAGGTTATTTTTACTCTTTTCTGTTTTATTCAAATGTAGTGTCTGTAATAGATGTGGACAGTATCCCATGTGATTGGTACAGAGGAGACATGACTGATGCTACTGTAGGGACATGGGGTTATCAAATGGAGCATGAATCCATAGTCTTGGCTACTCCTGAGAGCCTTGAGGTGATTTTACCTTCATGAGGTAGCTTTTGACAGTCCATGCACTTACCATGCCTAGTTTTCTTTGGAAATTAAAAACAACACCAACATGATGTACAGGTTTCAGTGTATAAAAAGCAGATTTGTTCATTACAACCGATGCAGGTAAAAAGCAGTGCTAGTGGTTTTCAGAAACAAACATGTTTGGATACACTTTCCGGAAAGAGAAGAGTCTTACCTTTCATTCATTTTCTTTTATTTTTGGTTGCAGAACCTCAGATGGTGGCAAAGTTGTCGGCACCATAGAAGTCAGTGTCGTGAAGATGGGGGAGATTGAGGATGGGGAAGCTGACAACATCACGACAGATGTGCAGGGACAAAAGGTAGGCTCCCAGTCAGCTCACTGCACAAATTAAATTAGAAACGATCAGCTTTGCCAGCTGCCCAGATCACCATCACCTCTGTGGGGTATGGAATCTCATTATTCAAGAGCTAAATGAGAAATTAGCCTTGGAATGGGAGTACCTTACGTGTGTCTCATCCTCACAACCCAGACGGCCTGTTTGCATGAAACTATGCAAAGCCATGCACCATTCAAAACACCTTTCTCTTCGCAGCTGGCTCTCTGTGTTGGCACAGCCTCTTCTCAGTTAGAACAAAAGTATTGATCGCTGTTGTATCCTGCAGTAATTAGCCCTATGTGAGATGCACAGAACATTCTGGGAGGCCTATTGCCAAAAGTAACCACTTCTCTGCTCTCAAAATTATCTTTGGAAAGCAATATAGTTGGAGTTTGGGTTTTGTTTTCATATGAAGGAGGACAGATTGAACAACTCTGTGCCTTAGGAAATTATGGGAAAAAATAAGCAGTAAGTGGTAAATGGGCTGGGAGGATTGGCGGGGGGGAGAGGTGGCGGGGACTCTGGAGAGGGAGGGACAGTGCCAGCTTCCTTGAAGTCCAGAATAAAAGCCCCAATATTGTCAGTATCCAGGATTTTTATTTCCTTTCTACTTTCTTTTCTTTAAATAGAGACAAAATTATTAGTCTAAAGTCCTGATTTAGGAAGGGAGTTGCCTGTCTCACTGAGGGACAGGGGATCAAGTTATAAACTAATAGTTCTTTCCTCCCCCCCCCACCCCCAGGGAAATGTATTTGTTTACATATTAGAATGTCTGCCTTTTCATAAATGAGCATTTTTAATAACATGATCCATTGTGACCTATTTTCTGACTTAGTGTCCCTTGTCTGGGAGCATGTTTTAATTTTTGGTACCAAGGAAGCATCTACATGGGAGAGAGACAGTACTTATCTAGCACTTAACAAATCGTTAACATTACAAAAAAAAAATCTAAACCGACTTTAAAAAAAAAATGTTGTTCTTAGTCTGCATAGGCTAGGGTCTTACCACTTCCCCAAGCCTTGTTCTTCTCAGTTCCCTGCTCTCCCTCAGAATGTATTCCAGGTCATGAACATATTTCAATGAGGTCCAATGTTTGAATCAGGTTGCTGGCAAATGGCAGGGCCATGTTGAAGTTATGCAGCAGATCGTCTTAAGATTCCTGTCTTGTGGCTAGGTTCAGTCATTCAACCCTTGTTAACTCTGGAGTTCTGTGTAAGACTCCTGCTAGTCATCACCACATGGAGATGCCTGTGTGTGTCAAGATTAGAGAGGGGGGGATTTGTAGGTTAAGAAGGTGGGGAGGGTGTCAGGGGGACAGGATGAACTAAAGGCAGAAATAGGCAGACAGTTGTGCCTAAACCCATGGAGACCAGGAGCTGAAACTCTTCCCATTTCAAAGGAAGCCTGCTTTCCATTTTCCTAACCTATTACCAGCCACCTCTATTTTTTCCCAAAGCTGGCTCACCCCTTGACTCCTTTACAATGTTGCTATTATGGGATAGCACAAATTGAGTCATGTTCTTTTCATAAATGGAGAACTTGATACTCAGGAATATGCCCCACTCAAGTCATACATAATGTTTCTGATTTAGTAATATGAACTTTAAAAAATGAGTTAACTGAGCTGTTCTAGAAATAGGTGGCAGTGTCAGCACATACCATGTAGTTGTCATAAGTGGACTAAAATGCTAACCACATCAAGCATTCTTGGTTTTAGCTTTATCCTATCTGCATTCTTGACCTTTTGTAAAGTTTTTTATAAAGTTACTATAAACCCTGTTGGCAATCCCTAGGAACAGTCATGAAGAGCATGTCATAAGGTCCACTCTGCATGATATTTAGAAGTTATGTGGAAAGAACATTATCTCAGTGCTTTTCAAAGTGTGGTCAGAATCATCACAGTGTTTGTTAGAAATTCAAATATGAGGACCTTTTTGCAGACTTGCTAAATCAAAAAATCTCTATGAAATGTATTCACATGGTCTGTTACTAATAGTGATTTAAATCTTGAAGTTAGTCAATGGCTGAGATATATGAAAAGACAAAGTAACTGAGATTGAGGTTATCCTAAAACCACATCCCTCTCACTGGTTTGCACGAATGCGGGGGAAGAAATGGGACAACTCTTTGCACCATAGTCGTGTACTAAGTGGCACATGTTATCCCTTATATATACTGAGCAGATAAAAAATTAGTACCTGTATGAACCTGCTTGGGCTGCCATAATGAAATACCATAGACTAAATGACTTATACAACGGAAATGTATTTCTCACAGTTCTGAAATGCTGCTGGGTCCCGAATCACAGTGCCAGATGATTCAGTTCCTGGTGAATCCTCTCTTCCTGGCTTGCAGATTTCTTGCTGTGTCCTCACAAGGCTTTTCCATGGCACACGTGCATGGAGGGAAAGAGGAAACTCTGGTGTCTCCTCCTCTTCTTGTTAAGGACACGAGCTGTAACATTAAGGTCCTACTCTTGTGACCTCATTTAACCCATTCCACAAAGTCCTTATCTCCAAATACAGTGACGTGAAACACTGGGACTTCAACATGTGAATTCCAAGGAATGTGATTCAGTTTATAATAGTACCTCTGATGTAAAATACGACATTTTAATCTTGAATCTTTATAAATGAAAATCCAAGCTCTTTCCTCTCACATACATTTACTTGTTTCCTAAAACCATATTATTATGGTTTTTTTGCTTGGTTGTTTGTTTTTAAATCAAAGAAAGATTGTGCATAGGGTCCTTCACCATATTATACTGGTTCAAACTTCTATTTGATACATAAAAACACAGAAATAGAACACAAAGTGTTAAAATGACAGAGTAGTACAAAGAAAAATTCACAAAAGAAGTGCTAACATTGTCCTTTTACAAAGCTAACATGTAAGGTGAAAAACATTAAGTTTATTAAAATTTTTTTTTCATTTTGGGTTATGTTTCAATCCTTTGTTCCTCTCATAGTCCATATGGCAGTAAATCCTGTTCATTTTGACTTTGAATTCAGAATCTGACAACTTGTGACCGCTTAAGGCCCTATGACCCACATTGTCTGTCACCTAGATTTTTGCAGTACAGTAAGTCCTCTACATATGAACAACTTACATTCTGAGGACACATTCATATGTCCAATTTTTCATACATCCAACAAAGTTAGCCTAGGTACCCAACTCACATAATCGACTATGTAGTAATGTACTGTAATCAGCTTATAATACTTTCTACACAAATAATACATAAAAAACAAGCACGAACATTAAATAAGGAAAACATTTTTAACCTTACAAAATGCAGTAGTACCCTACAATGGCTGGCATAAGAGGGCTGGCATCAAGTGAACAGGCAAGAAGAGTTACTGCCTGGAGGAACAGGAGGAGGTGGGAGATGGGAGAGCTGAAGGGTCATCAGCAATAGGAGACGGAGGGCAGGCTGCAGTTTCACCCACGCTTACGTTGGTAGAATGCATGTTTGCATCTTTGGAGGTTCACAACTTGAAGGTTCGTAGGTAGGGGACTTACTGTGGTCTCTTGCATGTCTCCCTGACTCCCTCCAGCCTCCTTCCCTGCCATCCTCACGACCGTCATAGTCTATTTTCAGCAGAGCACTCACTAAAATATAATACAGAATGTGTCATTCTTCAGGTGGCCTCTCATCTCCCGGAAGACCGACCGAGCTACAGGGGAAGCCCCGATAAGTCCAGATCCTCACTTATAGTCCTACAGGTGTTGGTCCCCTTCACATCCTTCACCTCCTTTTCTGCTCCTCAGTTTTGTCCATCTTGATCCAGCCACATTATCTTCTTTGCTGCTCCTTAAACATTCCAGATGCATTTCCAACTTGGGTCCATGAGCTTTGTCATTCCATCTATCCATGTAGCATTTTCCCCAGTATCTGCGCTCCACTCCTTCACTTCCTCTGGTCTTTATACAAAATCATTTTCTCACCGAAGCCTTCTCTGCCACCATATCTAAAACTGCAATGCCTGCCGGAAACACCCTCTCTTCTCTGAGTTATTTTGTCTTTAGTACTTACTGCTGTCCAACCTCATATGTGTTTTTTATTTATCTCATGTATTGTTTATTTCCTTCACTAGAATTAAACTTCCTGAGAGAAAGGTGTTTGTCTGTTTTGTTCTCTTTTCTACCCTCATTGCCCAGAACTGAGCATGACAGAAGGAAACTGAATCAATGAATAAATGAAGTCGATTTTAATTTTAAAGAAATTAAATCCAAAATTGTCTCCTAGATGGGCAAATGTTTGGCTACATATAGCACTGTACAAGGGCTTCGCCAGTGGCTTAGCCACAAAGAATCTGCCTGTGGTGCAGGAGCTGCAGGAGATGCAGGCTCATCCCTGGCTTGGAAAGATCCCCTGGAGGAGGGCATGGCAACCCACTCCAGTATTCCTGCCTGGAGAATCCCATGGACAGAGGATCCTGGTCAGTTACAGTCCATGGGGTCACAAAGAGTCGGACACGACGAAGTGACTGAGCACACACGCATATTCATCAGTGAACCAACTAGGCACAGATGCCTCCTTCTTGTGAAGCAGCAATTAAAAAATAAGCAATATATTGTTGATCAGGTGGTGCTGTTTGCTATAGGGAAAAAAGGACTGCAGAGTCCTAGGCTGTGGCCATTTTAAACTGGATGGTCAAGGATAGATTCACTAGTAGTATGATATTTGAGCTGAAACGTGCAGGAAATAAGGAATAAGAACTGTGGATTTCTGGAAGGAGAAAGAATTATAGGCGGAGTGAACAGAAAGCAGAGGTCCTAAGATGGCAGGAAGCTCCTTGTGTTGAAGGAACAGCAAGAAGGTCAGTGTGACTAGATTTGAGGGGTCAAGGAGGAGAGTGATAGGAGTTGAGGCCAGAGATTCTTGAAGCAGGGAAGACGGACTGTGTACTTCCTTGAAGCCCGTTAGGCTCTGGGCTACATGTGAAGACAGTTGAGGAGACGAGTGTATAGGTGTGAAGTCTGATTCATATTTTAAGAGGACCCTCTGGCTGCTGTATTGAGTAGAGCCTACCATGAGGTACAGACAGCAGAATGAAACCCAATGATTGTGAAGATTCAGGGTAGAAATGCAGATGGGCTGGATCAGGGTGATGCTGATGGAGAAAGTGAATTGTGGCCATACTCCAGGAGAAAAGGATAGCTAAAAAATAGAATTACCATCTTGTCAAAAACACTGAGAGAAGCAGGTGGAGGAAGATGGGAGAGTTTGAGATGCTGTATTTGACATTCCTCTTAGATATTTAAGTATATATGTATCAAAGCAGCTGGAGGTTCAAGTCTGGAATTCAGGTGGGCTGTCCAAACTGGAGTTATGCATTTGTGAGTCACCAGATGATATTTGGGTGGTGTTTAAGCCACGAGACTGAATGAGATCACAAAAGCATAGAAATTCTGTTTTACACTCTTGAAATTTATATTTAGGTGGATTTTATCTACTGACACTTACTGTATTCGTAATTATACAGTATATAATTCACTTATTTGAATTATATCTGTAGACATTTATCATATTAGAAAGTCAAACAGGAAATGCTTAAAACAGAAGAGTATATAAGTACACATACCATTAGCTATCACTTGATTGGGTGATACAGTCTGAAAAATTCTACTATATGCTTATAAGAGAAAGAGAAGGAAACAGACAATAATATTTTAGTATTAATTTGAAAATAAAATTGTCTTTACCCTGTGCTAGATGCCACAAAGGCTACCAAGACTAAAGTTATCAGGGGGACTTCTCTGGTGGTACTGTGGCTAACACTCTGAATTTCCAATGCAGAGGCCATGAATTCGATCCCTGGTCAGGGAACTAAGAACCCACATACTGTGTGACCCAGCCAAAAAGTATAATAAATTAAGTGAAAGTATCTTTAGAAAAAGTCATCAAGAATTTCCAGGAGACTCCAGAATAACTTTGAGAACTGTGATTGATGGAATAAACTAACAAATGTGAAAGTACTTAGCCATGAAGTGTTGGTCTTGATGGATTCATACAGAGCTTTGTGATTACTGTTCATACAATACTGCTAATTTTCTAGATCAACACGTAGCAAATTGATATATTAGCTGAGAGTCAAAATCATTTAGCTCTAAGAATTTTACATATCTTATGTTTCTTCTGCTTGCCCACACTTACCATCAAAAGATACTTTTAAAATTATTAATCACAATCAATAGGGTTACAGTGCTACATCTGGTACAAAAAGCATGTGATGTTTTGTTATTCCTGCTCAGAATCACAAATGTAGAGTCATTACATTGCAAGTGCACACCATGCAAATGTGTAATGCTGCAAATATCCATCATCATCATAGCAATGAACAGTATAAATAGCTGAACCTTCTTAAGCACAATTTCCACCTCATTTCCATCTTTGCATTCTCTGTAGCAACTGGCACAGTGTAGCAGTGACTCTAAGGTCAATGTAAAAAATTTTTTTTGAAATATAGCTTAAGGAAATAAGAAATAAGCTTCTTGGCCTGGAGAACTTTCAATCTAAATAGTGACACAAAGTGTACACTTCAGGAAACAATTGAAGAAAGCAATAACCAGGGTCCAAGTATGAAAATATTAATTTAGTAACTGTTTATTAGATACTTTCTGTTTATGTTCAGTGGATTTAAATCTTGAGAGGATTCTGAATAGTAGAACTTTGAAATACAGTATCTTTGCAAAATAAGAATATTAGTTTAAAATGTCCTTAATATCAGTTTTCCAGTGAGGATGGAAGATATGGTTATACAAAAGTCATATGTCTGTATTCATTTGGTGAAATGAAACAGGCTTTTAGTTTGGAAACAGAAAGTTATCTTTGATTTCAAAGAGGCGTCCATTAAAAGAAGCAGTTTCTCAGGATAATAGCCTGGTTTCTGGGAATTAGGAACTTCTTCACTAAAAAGGTTTAATCTAAACCATCCCTATATGTTATATTGTAGATGATGATATTCTTTTGGAAAGGAAGATGATTTAGAGCCGTGTACCTAGTTATTATGTGGAAGGATGAATAACCAGGGTCCAAGTATGAAAATATTAATTTAGTAACTGTTTATTAGATACTTTCTGTTTATGTTCAATGGATTTAAATCTTGAGAGGATTCTGAATAGTAGAACTTGGAAATACAGTATCTTTGCAAAATAAGAATATTAGTTTAAAATGTCCTTAATATCAGTTTTCCAGTGTGGATGGAAGATATGGTTATACAAAAGTCATATGTCTGTATTCATTTGGTGAGATGAAACAGGCTTTTAGTTTGGAAACAGAAAGTTATCTTTGATTTCAAAGAGGCAGGACTGCCTCCATTAAAAGAAGCAGTTTCTCAGGATAATAGCCTAGTTTCTGGGAATTAGGAACTTCTTCACTAAAAAGGTTTAATCTAAACCATCCCTATATGTTATATTGTAGATGATGATATTCTTTTGGAAAGGAAGATGATTTAGAGCCATGTACCTAGTTATTATGTGGAAGGATGTCAGGGACAAAGCATAAAAGCATTTGAGGACCAGTCTGAGAATATTGAACTTGATTGGACAGTAAATAACCATTTTACATTCTAGAACCAAGCACTGATATGTTGAATATAATATTTACCAGAGATTACTTTAACAGCCCTATGTAGGCTGAAAGAAGTAGAGAAAATATTGTAAATAGGAGAAATAAAGAACTAAAGAAATAAAGAAATAAAGAAATGTGTCTCAGGATCCTTGCACATTGCTGTGGTGATTTGGAAAGTGCATATCCAAAATACCTGTGGATTAAAAAAAGGAATCACCTCTGACTTCTGGTTGATTGCAAAAATGATCTAGAGAACACTAAATTTAAAGAATTATTTGCAGTTATTCATTCTTTCTGTGGGATCTCAATATAAGCACTAAAAAATTTAGGAAAGAACATTTTTCTCCATCTAGAAATTTCCTGAGTAATGTGATGAATGTTATGATAGAAGAATGAGTAACAGACTTTAAGAATACAGAAAGTAGCATTTAAATCAAGGTTTTAAATTATTTGTGTCCCTTCTCAAAATCCTTGAGAGACATACACTTTGCTATCATGAACAATGACCTCTGTGGCTGTGAATCTCAAACCCGGGCCAGTCCTTGGAGAAGGGAGGTGGGTTTCTGTGTCTCTCTCTGTCTCTCCGCTCTCCTGTCCAGAGCAGTGTCTGTTCTGTAAAGGATCATGAGCTGAATCTGTTTATCATGGGTGAATAGATCACCTATTATCTCTAGATTAGCTTGTGTATAAATTACTTATTCATAAATGGGACATCAGCTTATTTATAAAGTACCCTCATCCTTTATGAGCAAGTGTTTGTATCTTTTGCCAGAGACAAAAAGTTTCCTTTTGCATTGTGAAATTAGATGCTACAATATATTTTCTCTTTTACTTACAGTTGCCTTTACTTAAAAACTAGAAAATAATTTGCTTTTTATTGATCCAAAATCGACCCACCCAGGTGACAGAAATACAAAGCCATTCACCTTGTCCTAGGTGATTTGCTGTAATGGGAACCTATTTCTAGCATGTTAGGGAGGGTTCTTTTCCACAAAGAAAGTACAAATTTTCTTTCCTAAGAAGTCTTTAACTCAAACTGAAATGTAGCCTATAATTGCATAATAAAATCATATTATATGTAAGTAAATAATCACAAGTTAAATTAGATTCATCCTAAAGATACAGCTCAAAATAGTTTTTCAAAAATGTCTTGTTCAAAACTTTTTGAAACTGTGTGCACGGCCTCATGTTTTGCAAATAAAAGAATCTCATTCCTTATTTGATCGTGTTCAACTATGTTTTCTTTCTTCTTTTTCCTTCTAGTGTGCACTGGTTTGTGAATGTTCAGCCCCAGGAAGTGTGAGCAGAAAAGATAACCTACCTTTTTTGAATGCAGGTATGTACCTCAGTTTTGGAAACTTAAGTTCATTTCATGTGAACATACATTTTAATTTTCTAAGAAGTTGATACTGAACCTGGATACCATTCTCACAGAACTGTTATAAACATTTATTAAATATTGGTAATCATGGGAGTCAGCAGTGTGGGGGTAAACTTGACAATTCCATAAAAAATATATTTGTATATCTTGGCTAAATGGCAAAACAAATTCCTTTTATCAATTGGGTTTTGTTTTATTTGAAATGAGACATCATTTCAGATGATGGAGGAAGTATTAGAAATGTGAAGCTCTTAATTAATTTGACTTTCTAATTCTAGAATTTAAAATAAAGTTGTTAAAACAGTATGTATGTGAATTCAGTAGGAAAAATTCATACACACATTTATACATTCGATTATGTGTGTGTGCATATATATATGCATATATATGTAGTGTTAATAATGCTAATATATTTGAATTTCAAAAAGGCACTGAACAGTGTGGTAAATGATGACTTTGATGTCTGATACAGTTACAAAATATGTGATAATATATATATGTAAATCATGGAACTAATTTTTGAATGATAACGTACATTGTGTTACCAGTAGTGATATGATGATATTAGCAAATAATGATTAGTACAATGACAGGCAAGATGCTGAATGCCTCATGTGCCTTGCCTTAACTTGTTTTCTAATATGTGCTATGAAGAAGGCACTGTTATTATCTCCATTTTAAAGATGAGGAAATTGCTCAAGATTACTACCTAGCCAGTAGCAGGTCCAACATTTAATTTGGTTTTAATCCTAAGGCCTTTGCTTTTAATTACTAGATCATGCTGTTACTAAAAAAGCCATTAATTAACAAGCTGGTATAACAGTAAAATAAACCTTAACATTTTCGTAGCCTTGCTCTGTTATGCATTTCAGCAGTGACATGAATAGCATGATAATCAGATTGAGTGATACCAAACTTCAAAGTTACTAAGACAGAACCCCTAAACAATGAGCAGTTTTCCCCTGCAGAAACCCAGTAATAATAAGAGATAGAGAAAAACATGCAACACTTTGAATCAAAGAACTCAAAATAAAATATAGCAACCAAAAACCCATGAATTGTACTTAATAGAATGGGGGGTTAAACCAAAGAAGAGCAGCTACTTCTCAACCTAGGACCAAATGGCATGTTTTAAAAAATGCTTATTAAGGATATATTATCAGGAGGAATGTGCATTATACAGGGAAGGGGCTATCTGCACATCTACACCAGCCAGATACCATAAAAATACTTGATAAGTTATCCATATGGCTGAAATAACTAATGTATCCTCAAAGGGTTTTCTTCATATATGTTTTTTTCTTTTAAAAGCTGACCAAACCTCTAAACCTTGATTTCAATATATCTAGATAATCTATTTAATTCTCCAAATGTCAATTTTGAGAAGTAAAATTGAATGTGAGAGATATTGCACTCATGTTAAATACAGTTTAAATGAATCAAATTATCATCAAAATCATCTACACTGTAATTATAAGACACTTTTTAAGTGATTCACTCATATGAACCTTGTAATTTTTTTATGCACACAAAGGGAAATGCCATTTTAAAATACTGATTGGTTTAATATAAATTTCAAAGAGAAAGAGAAAAGTGGCTCTCGGGGTAGAAAGAAATATATCACCTAAGGAAGATGAGACAAAGGGAACATGAGAAAAATAAATCTGCACCTTCTGATCCTTGCACCATAAAATCTGCAAGGCATGAGTTTTGGAAGCCTATTAACTCTTCCAAGTGTCTAGGCTATGATTCCTAACCTTTGATTTGTAATATGACAGAGACAAGCAACATGGAAATCTTGGGAGCAGCTACATTCTACAATTTAAATACACTCACTAGCGGAGTCAGGATTGATTACCGCTTTCCCTTTTCCTGGAGGTGACGGTTTTGGTGGTGATTTTATACTTTGTTCTGATGATTTTTCCTGTGTCCTTGGTCCAGGCAATCTGAAAGTGCCTAGAACATTTGCCAAAAATATTTTCTTTTCATGAAATTATTTTTTTAAATGCAGCCTTGTTTATTTGGCGGCACTGGGTCTTAGTTGCAGCACATGGGATCCCCGCTGCATCCTGTGGGTCTTTCACTATGGCACAGGCACTCTAGTTGTGGCTGATGGCCTTAGCTGCTCTGCGTCTTGTGGAATCTTCGTTCCCTGACCAGGGATCGAACCTGGGTCACCTGCATTGCAAAGCAGATTCTTAACCACTGGATCACCAGGGAAGTCCCACAGATATGTTCTATGAGCCTTCTTATATTAGGGAAAGTGAAGTCGCTCAGTCATGTCCAGCTTTTTGCAACCCCATGGACTGTAGCCTGCCAGGCTCCTCTGTCTATGGGGTTTTCCAGGCAAGAATACTGGAGTGGGTTGCCGTTTCCTTCTCCAGGGTATATTAGGGAAAGATAAGACAAAATGACTGTCAAATGTTCTAAAAGCTTGATTTTTTTAAAAAAATATTTTAAAATGCATCTAAGTGCTATATATAACATGCTTCTGTTCATAATCTTAAAGTGTGTTGCACATGTATAGAATATATAAGTGGAATATGCACCCATGACTTGGGTCTGTGTGTACCTTGGTCTTTTGTTCTATTTATTTATCCATCTAAACTCAGCAACTTTGGAATTAATCTATTATATTTCCATGAGATACTTTTTCACAATCTGTAGGCGGAGGGAGCTATTGACATTCTTCCCAGGCCTTTATATTCATGTATTATATGGAACTTGCCAGTCTCAAGTGAGTTATGAAGTTCTTACTGATTGAGCGCAAGAGGATGTCATAGCTCATAGCTGCTCTTCACTATTCTATTTATATCTCTAGAAGTTTAATGAATAACTCAGAAAATTCACTTATCTATTGTGAGACTACAGAGGAAAAAGCTCTTCTCTCTTGAACCTCACCGTCTTCATGCCGTGTTAGCCTCTCAAGTTGAATGTATATGTTGGAAGCCTGGAGAGGTAAGGGCAGGAGGAGAAAAAATGATGAGGAAGAGGAGAGGGGGCAGGATTTACAATTCCATAAAAAAGATATATAAGTACTTTAGCTATATAGGAGAAAATAAATTCCTTTTGGCTGTTGGATTTTATATTCTCTGAAAGAGGAAATGAATTAGAAGATGCAGTATTAAGAATTGTGAGGTTCTCGTTTTGCTTGATTTTATAATGGTTTATGAAAGTTGTTGAAAAGTTACCTGTTTAATTATTGGTGCATTCATTTAAGCAAAATGGGAGTGAGAACACATAAAACTGTGTGTTGTTGGGGTGTTGCTTCAGGGATGAGGGTAGGGAAAGTTAATTTTGAACACAGGGAAGTGTGAACAACCAAGTCTCTTACCTGGTCACAGAGTTGGGTGTGCATTAACTGAGGCGCCTTTGTCTACAGCCAAACAAGAACAAACGGGCTCTGATGGTATTCATACCAGTGCACTGAACAGGCTCTGTGAAGAACTGGTGTCACAGCCTAGATTTGCTAACAACAGTGTGACTCTAACAGACTGGTCAGCCTCTTTGGGCATCAATACTTTTCGGATGACCAAACTGACCTCGACAGTCTTCAATTTCGTTTTTGGTCCTCCATGTCTGAAATCTAGAGAGCATAGTTTGGCCTTTGCTATGTTTTCCTTCATTTTAGAAATATTTCATGAAAGTTTTCATTTTCATCAGTTTCACATGGAGTCCTATATCCAATTCTTTGTCACTTACAGTTGTCTTTCTCAGGAGTTATTTATATTTAATAAGCCTGGCCAGAAGTAAACTCTTTAAAAAATGTTGTCAAGATCAACAATTCTCTCTAGATTTCCTAAATCTACCCATTTTCTTTGTTAAAGTATAATGCTACAGAATACTTCAGCCCATGGACTTTGATATTATCATGATCAATCTGAGAAGCTAATGGACCCTGTCATTGTTTCCTATTATCTTCACATTTTGAGTGAGTTTCCCTCTGTCAGCAAGCATTTGATCTGATACAGCATCTTTCCTAGTTGAATTCTACACTTCTTGAGTCATGAAATTATCCATGATATTTTTGAAGACCAGCTTCATGCTGTATATTAACGGGTATGCTGTCTATCCTCTTCACAGAGGGTGTATCTGACAGCGATGAATTCCATGACTGTAAAAAATCTAAACCTCAATGTGAGGACTATCCTGTTTTCAGTCCTAAATACAGATACTTTCCCCCCTATTTGGAGAGTTTATTGCTGTTTATCTTCTTGCCTCATGGATGAATCACAAGTATTCTCAAAATAGTCCACTGTATCTTTTTTTCTTTTCCCCCAAATAGGCTTAAGTCATCTACTTCCCCAGGTGGCACTAGTGGTCAGTAGCCTGCCTGCCAATGCAGGAGATGTAAGAGAAGTGGGTTCAGTCCCTGGGTTGGCAAAATCCCTTGAAGGAGGACATGGCAAGCCACTCCAGTGTCCTTGCCTGGAGAATCCTATGGACAGAGGAGCCTGGCAGGCTACAGTCCATGGGGTCACAAATAGTCGAACAAGACTGAAGTGACTTAGCACACCTGCTCTATCCCTTGAAGGAGGACATGGCAAGCCACTCCAGTGTCCTTGCCTGGAGAATCCTGTGGACAGAGGAGCCTGGCAGGCTACAGTCCATGGGGTCACAAATAGTCGAACAAGACTGAAGTGACTTAGCACACCTGCTCTATTGCTTTACTGCAGTTGCCCAATTATGAGCTGTTTCAGAAGAAGAAACATTGCTTATTTATTTCTGTGTCTCCAGGGACAGAAAACAATAGGAACTCAGCAGATATTTGTCAAATGACTGGTAATGGGTGTATCTTACCACTTGAATTTATGCTCCAAGTACAGAAAACTGCACTGTTATTCTTCTGTCCCTGAGAAAGATGTTCAAATTGAATTATTTCTGTTTAAAATTATTTATTACTTTCCCTAAAAATTACTGTTAAATTCTCATTTTAAATTTTTTTTCTGCTTCAT